TACCATTAAAATGACTCAAGTTAGAAAAACAATGAAAAAAATAGAGTCTGAGACTGATGGAAGACCATTAAGCATGAAGCAAAATCTTGGATCATAAATGCCAGAGAAAAGAAAAACAGATTCTTTTGTAAAAATGGAAGATAATTTTATAGACTTGGTGAAAAACATTAAGAACTTTAGTGAACTTAGAGACAAATCTGCTTATACTATATTGCAATCAAATTATCAAAATTATGTTTTCTAAAGGGTGTAACATTCTTAAACTGAGATGAGCTTTTTGAGATTAAAACTATGTTCAGGTTAAAGATAATTACTTCAGTTGCAAAGAGCTCATTCGTGTTCACAGCTATAAGAAGAGATGCTTTAGAACTCTGAAGTTAAAAGTAAAAATCATGAGAGTACTTATACTGAAAGTAGGTAGAGTAACTTTTATTTCATACACAAATGTAGGACGTGAAAGTCAACTTTTTCTACTTGTATAAATCTACCTTATGTAAATATCATCGAAAGTTTTACAGGATATGAAATTTAAAAATTTTTATGTGCCAAGCACATAAGGAGTACAGGGAAGATAGAACTACAAGAAACAGATATATCCAAATCATAGTAGATGTCAGTATGCCCATCTCTGTTAATGTCAAAATGTAAAACAAAATTAAGAGAAATAAAGAAATAATACCCTTAAAAACACAATTTCATGAATGTTTGTAAGACTGTAGCAAGATACGTACCAGTTAACTAAACTCCACCTAATTAAGATAAATTTAAAAACAATTTGATAGGATTTATTATTTTGGTGCCATGGAGATGGCTCAGTAGAATGGGCGCTTGCCTGGCAAACTTTGCGCCTGAGTTCAATCCCCAGTTCCACAAAAAAAAAAAAAAAAAAAAAAATATTTTGCTATTGAGTCTTTTTTCTCCTAACAGCTCTAAATATTGGGTGAAATATTTCCACCTGCATGTGGTGTTACAAGATGAGATCTTTAAGAGCTCTAAACTGAAAGCAGATTAGCAAAGTATATTAATGATCCAATATTTTGTCTCATTACTTATGACACAAGAAAATCACATTTGGTAATAATAAACTATTAAGCGACTAGTTGAAATATGGACAGTATATTTCTTTTTCATATACAGAGAAAGTTAATGCTTTTTAAAATATGCTTTAATTTTCTTAGAACAGTCTAACTTCAGAATAAAGTTTAAAATATTGAAAACCCTGTGCATCAGGAAAAGCCTATTAAAGAGTAAAGATAAATACAAGGATGGAAAACTAGAAAACAAAGAAAGTGGCACAGTTGAAGATAAAAATATCACCAATAAAATTAAATTTGCTTTATGGATTCTAGTTAAGAGACAAAGACATCAAGCTGTATTTGAAAATACACAACCATAAACTTCATAAAAGAATACAGAAAAAATCACAAAGATACAGGAGAGTTAAATTACCACAATTAAAAAATAGTACCATGCAAATGCCAACTAGAAACAAGTCAGCAGAGCTACCTGAATGGAAGATTTTCAAGTACTGAAGTAAAAAACCCAAAACTATAAAAATGATAAAATATGTCCTAATTAGGAAAATATTTCTGTACTCCAAAAATTATTAATTTTAAAGAGATAAATATAATAGATGTTCATAAAAATGTCAAAATATATAAAGCAAAAATACAACTATAAGAACAGAAATTTACAATTATAATAGAAAATTTAACAAATTTATTTACTTATTTATTTTTGTATTTTAGGGAATGGTTTACAAGATGTTCAGGGTCTCACTACTAGGTAGTGATCTGCCTGTTTAGAGCCTCCCAAGAGCTGGGATTATAGGTGCACTCCACCATACCCAGTCTCAATCGCCATCTCATCATGCCCTGCAGCAGGGCTGGCACAGCAGGCCCAGGGATTGAACACCCAGACCCTTTGCCTCCTTGTAGGTGCTTTAATCTGCTGAGCTCTTTGGCTGGCCCTGATAATTTAACACATTTAACTTAGTAATTATAGAATACAGAGATTCATCATCAATGAAGATTTAGAAGCTTTGAACAAGATAATTGCAAAAGAAATGTAAAAGACAATTGTAAACGCATGCATAAAGTGTGGCAAGAACTTCTCTTGAATTTAATTGAAAATAACTATAATTTAATTAGAGCAACAAATGAAACTCTCAAAGATCTGGAATCCAGACCCTGAAAAAGACCAATTTGATGAAGAAAAGGAGGGAGGAGGTGGATCCTCAAGACCAAGGCAGGATCTGACAGGAAAATTGGAATCTGCAACGAAATGGAAGAGACAGACCACAATGCACAAAAAGAAAGGGATATTCTGTACTTTCTGTCCAGCTTCTGACTCATGGCTTGTGAGAAAGGAAGACTGAATCTATAGAGATAGTGAAAGTGGGTGACTCCAGAGACCTGTAGGAAAGTCTCACCGGTGGAGTGAAGCTATAAGTGCTGCCTGCTACCACAGCTAGGGAGAGGCTCCAGCCAAGGACAAGCTCTGCCGCATCCTTAGAGAGAGCACTTTTCCAGATGCCATTCTAGGGAGGGGTCAACTGAACCTGAGACTCAATGCAGCTGTGTGCTGGCTTCATCTCAGAGTTCCCAGCGTTAAACTCCCACAGTGACTGGGTGATAGACAACCATGGGGACATCCATGGTCAGGGAGCCATGGCCAGGGAGCAAGAGGATATTATAAGCTGAATGACTCAGGCCCCAACCCAGAATCAGAAGCCAGGTTCAGTCTAAATTTTTGTGCATTGGAAGCCCACGGAACCAGCATCCTGCCTTCATCTTACTGCCAGCTTGCTTGTGAGTACCCAGCATGGATCTGGGCTCTGGCTGCCTCCAGTCTACCAGCAAGTGGCAAGTGAAGCCTTGCATTGGATACTGTCACAGAAGTAGAACCCAGAAGATAACCAAGGCTGGAAATAGCAGAGATATTTCTTTTTTCATTTCTTTGGTATTCTTTTATCTTTGTTTGTTCACTTGTTTTTTAAAATTTATTTATTTATTTGGTGCAGGGTCTACGCAGCTTGGATTCATAGTGATCCTCCTGTGTCAATCTCCCCAGTAATGGGATTATAGGCAAGCACCACCATGCCCAGTCATAATGACCAGCATGGTGTGCCAGGGCTTCCAGGGCTGGCACAGCATGCAGTACTAAGGACTAAATCCCAGTCCTTGCGCTTGCCAGGCAGGTGCTTAGACCATTGAGCCATCTCCTCAGGCCTCTGTTCAATTGTTTTTTAAAAAATGTGTGTGTGTGTGTGTGTGTGTGTGTGTGTGTGTGTGTATAGTTTTTAGTTTAGTTTCTTGTTTTTTTTTTTTCTCTTTCTGCCCTCTTATCTTCACCAGTTTCTTGAGCATTAGGTAATCTTCCTCTGTCCTTCTGCCTTGCTTCTAAATACTTTTTCTTCTTTTCTTTTTTCTATTTTTCCTTTTCTTCCTTTATAATTTGCTTCCCTTAATTACTATTCTCTTATTTTTACTCTCTGCACAATTTCTTTCTTTTCTTCTTCTTTTTCTTTTACCTTGTATTTTTTGCCCTACCTTTACCCAATTCTTCAGACATCCTTGCACTCCCCAAAGAAAAGTCTTTGTATCATTTCTTGGTCCTCCTCAAATCATAGAGCTTAAGGTGTCACAATTTTCTTGTTGCATTGCCTCATTCCCAAAACCCACAATATAACCCCTTTATGGTTATATTACTTAATAGTATAACCATAAAGCTTTGCTAATCTTTTGACAGTTAACTCCATAACTATTAGAAGTGCTCTAGCTCTTGTATTTGGTATATATTACCTAAAAGTCAATACCTGGGTTGCCTTAATATTTATATCATAATTGAGTTTCTTCTCTAGGAATAAGGGAATTACATAACTGGTTCTCAGGGTATGTCCGTATATAATTTGTCTCAGGCAATACTACTGGGGATGTTTTACTTTATATTAATAGGGTCTCCTAATTGTTGCTATTTCTCTGTAAGCCAGCATGCAGATGGACTTCAGGACATTAACAATACTAATGGACATTCGCAGAGAACTTGGTTTCTGAGCTAACTACACTGCATCCTCCTTTTCCAAAACAAGCAAAGTAGTTGGATCTTGGGGCTCTGGGAAAAAAAATTGTAGTTAGCTGCACCCAAATTATACCACTGAAAAGCAACAAAAGAGATCTTCACATTAGTAACAAAGACTTTATTGCACCCACAAACCTCAGCAGAAAACAAACACAATAAGAACACGGAAAGAAAGGTCAACAAAATGCTGCCCCAGACATCCAACTACCTGGAAGCCAATCAAGAAGGAACTGAGGGACAGAAGAGTGTAAGCACACACCTAACTTATTCAACTGCACAGCAGAGAAGGCTACAAAATAGCTCAAAGAGATACTCATCAAAATTAGAGAAGATATAGCTGAACACATAATGGAACTAATAACAAAAAAGATGCAGGAGCTCTCAGAAGACAGTAATAGAAAGCTCGATGAGCTAAACAAAATAATACAAAACATGAATGACCAGTTCACCAAGGCGCTAGAGTCCATAACATAGTTTTAGTCAGAAATTCAGGAGATTGGGTGGCTAAATAGCTCAGCAGACTAAAGCATCTGCAAGCAGGTGCAGGGGCTGGGGGTTTGATCCTTGGGCCTGCTGTGCTGGCCTTGTCCCCAGCTGCTGGGGCCATAATGAGACAGCAATTGAGACTGGGCGTGGTGATGTGTGCCTGTGATCACAGCTTTTGGGAGGCTGTAAACAGGAGAATCACTATGCGCCCGATCTAGTAGTGAGACCCTGAATACTCTGTAGACCCTTCCTTAAAAATACAAAGAAAAAAAAAGAACAGAAAAAAGAAAAAAAGAAATCCAGGAGATTAAAAATCACATTGAGAGTATAGCCAGCAGAATAGCCAACATGAGATCAGAATTTCAGATGAGATCAGGCATGTTCAGGGTGTTATGGCCATAGACAGGGCAGCATTTCAGAACTAGAAGACAATAA